TTATAAAAAGCCAGTTGCGTTACTCGGCGTTACCCGGGTTTAAAGAAAAAACCCTACTATTTCTGTTTCCCCATTCCATATTTCGATAGATATGTAATATTATGTTGAACTAGCCATAATGTAAATTGAATATATTTTTATGAATGTGATACCGTATTCACATAATGACATTCATGTATGAAATACACTGCAAACAAAATGCAGTAGTTTACTTTATAATGTTCCATCCTCTAAACTAAATTAAATTAATTTAAAGAAATTTTAAAGCCAGCCATTATCATTCTTATAGTTATCAAGCTTTTTCTTAAGCTCACTTAAATTTACTGCCACTACAACATCTGAAGGCAACCCATTGCAAAGGCCAACCACCCTGTTAAAAAAATAAAACTGTCTTAGCTGAAGATGACTTCTACTTTGCCAAAATTTATATTTGTGTTCCCAAGTACTACTATTCTCATTGTTAAATATGAAAAAAAGATGATGCATCAACACTATTAATTCCCTGTACAATCTTAAACACCTCAGTCAGATCCTCTCTAACTCTTCTTTTTTCAAGATAAAATAATTTGAGAGATATAAGCCTCTCCTCGTATGACTACCCATCCATCCCAAGTACCTTTCTAGTAACCCTTATCTGAACCATTTCCAACAATTCAATGTCCAAGAATGTACTCAAAATTTCAAATGTGGCCTAACCAAGTGATCTGTACAATGAAATTATAACCTTTTTAGACTTGTATTCAATATTTCTGTAAATACAACCTGAAATCCTATTTGCCCTACCACTGGCGAAAACACACTACTTGGATGACTTTAGAGACTGGTCGACTATTACACCAAAATCCCTTCCACTGTTAAGGTTATTCCCCTCCAAATTATACTTATAATTCAATATCTTGTATTTGTTATAATTAAAACCCATTTGTCATTTATTTGCCCAACCTACTAAATGATCTAAATCCTTTTGTAAATAGCAGCATCCTCTTCACAGCTAGCAACACCCAAGACCTTAATATCATCTGCAAATTTAAATAATTTATTTACTATTCCTCCATCTATATCACTGATGTAAATCAAAAAAGCAAAAGGTCCTAAAACTGAGACCTGAGGTATCCCACTTGTGACATTATTCCAGTTTGACTGAACTCCATTTGTAACAAACCTCTTCTTTCTTTCATCCAGCCACTCATCTGTCCAATTTGTTAACATATCCCCACACCTATAGAGATAATTTTTGACAATCCTTTTATGTGGCACCTTGTCAAATGCTTTCTGAAAATTCAGATACACCCTTACCCTCATCTGCATAAGCAGTAACCTTTCCAGACAACGTCAAAAGATTTATAAGGCAAGATTTTCCCGTAGTGAAACCATCTTGACTATCCACTAGAATTCTAAACTTTGTTAAATGACTTTGCAAAGCATCTTTTAACACTTTCCAAAAATTTTCCGACAACTGATGTAAGTCTAATGGGCTTATAATTACTGGGATAATTTTTATCATCTCCCTTGAAAAGAGGAGTTACATTAGCTAACTTCCAGTCCTCTGGTACCTGCCCGCTATTCAAGGACTGACAAAAAATAGTAACAAGTGGCTCACATTTCCAATCTTTAACCTATTTCAAAACCCTTGGGGAAATATTATCTATCCCAGGAGCCTTATCAGTTTTTAAACTTCCTAATTTTTTTATTTTTTTTAGCCAGCTTAGAATTAACGCAGTCATCTTGTTTGATCTCGTTTCCATTTATCAACTAATCAAGATGTGGAATACTGCTTAAATCTTCATTATTAAAAAACCGAAGAAAAAGTGAAATTTAATAACCCAGTTATCTCATAATCATCAGATGCTAGCCTTCCTTTGTCATCCCTCAAGGGTCCTATCCCTATCCTAACATTTTGTTCCCTTTAATGTATTTAAGGAAATCCTTATTGTTAATTTTTACATTTTGGCAAACTTTTTCTCATACGTCCTGTTTTTATGTTTCACCAACTTTCTTGATCTTCTAAGTCTCCTGTCATACCAGTCAATTTAAATTTCTTAAATTTATAATGCTTTTCTTTAATTTTATTTCGTAAACTCTTTGTGAGCCAACCTGGTTTTTCACTTGTATCTACCCTTTTCTTTCTACTAGGAATATGTTTACATTGAACATTTAAAAATTTTCCAAATCTGATCAGTGTCTTCAAATAACTCAGTTGCCCAATTCACAACAGATAACATAATAATTTATACATTTTCTTTTATAAATCTCGTTCCTCTTTCAAGATTAAATGTGAAAAGTTCGTAGCTATCATACCTGTTAAAACCGTTAGATATTGGTAAAGTTTACTGTTGTGATTTTTGCATCAATTATAATTTAAAAGTGTCCTATTGATACAAAGATTAACTCGCCAGGAATTGATGTTTTTGTCAGTTGAAAGCTTTAAATTAGATTAATGGCATTTGGAAGTATTATTATCTGAAATTGACAGCAATGGTTGAGTAGTAACTTTTTTATCATTGGTCTAGAAGTCTTCCTATGACGTCGAACAGTATTGTATCAATTTTATTTTATAACTGATTCAGGCAGTGTATTTATGCTCAACAAACAAAGATGAGATGAGCAGCAACTTCAGTCTTTGTTCCTTTGACGTCATCCTATGTAGTATTCAGTCTTTATTCCTTTGATGTCATCCTAATTCTAAGCCACTTAATATCAATCATAATGATCATACTGCAATAAACATTAATGATATTCTATTGCATTTGCATGATGAAACCAATTTTATCCCATACCATCACTGGTGCCATGAACTAAGAGGTATTTCTTTCCTTTCAGATTGGCTGCTTTTTTCACCAAGCTCGACTTTTCATAAGCTAAGTAGTTTTGATCAGGCGCCGGGAACTGCATATATCGTTCAGTGTATGCGGAATCTGGAAATACAGAACAACGTTAATAAGTTCAGGCCTAAAACCAAACCAAACATATATCGTTCTCTGTACACGGAATCAGGAAATACAGAACAACGTTAATAAGTTTAGGCCTAAAACTAAACCAAACATATATCGTTCACTGTACACAGAATCTGGAAATACTGAACAACGTTAACAAGTTTATGCCTAAAAACCAAACAAAACATATATCGTTCACTGTACACGGAATCTGGAAATACAGAGCAACGTTAACAAGTTTAGGCCTAGAACAAAACCAAACATATATTGTTTACTGTACACGGAATCTGGAAATACAGAACAACGTTAACAAGTTTAGGCCTAAAACAAAACCAAACATATATCGTTCACAGTACACGGAATCTGGAAATACAGAACAACGTTAACAAGTTTAGGCCTAAAACCAAACCAAACATGTATCGTTCTC